TTTTTTTGATTGCATACTAGACTGTTGCTTTCACCAGACCCCAACATCATTGCATGTCAAATGAAAAGAGTCAAAGCTAAAATGACGTATTTGGACTTGGCCAGCACCAGACAGATGGCCTCCTGTCACTTGTCCAAAACCCTGTGTTCAGATGTACTGTGCGGTGCCCTTGAGAAATTCAGCTTCTATGGTTTTCAAATCTCATTAGTAGGAAAATAATTATGCCGTGTTGGTTAATTTTAGGTGATTAAACTTCTGTTTCACTTGTCTGGAAGCATATTCACAGTGAATGGCCAAGTTATGTTGATATTAGGTGATGTCAACGTGTTATTAAAACTATAATTGCTAACTACAGGAGAAGCTTTTACTGTTGATATTCTATTACACCCAGGGGTCATTGCTATATATTTTTTCAATTAATCAACTAATCTATTAACTGGGTTGACACATTTGTTTTACGTCAATTTTCCCAGGAACAGAGAGAGAGTGAGCTCTCTCTAAATTAGTTATGTGTGCTTGTTGTTCTTTCATTTCACATAGTTTTAACTAATTATATATATTGATGGCAAGACAAGTTCATTCGTATAGCACCGTTCATACCCAAAGAAACTCAAAGTGTTTGACAAAACAAGAAAAAAAGAGTTATTCAAATCATCGACACACGGTACATTAAAAAGAGTGTATACAATCCTTCCTTTGTAAGTGTTTTCAACCTGTATTTCAACATTGTCACAGTAGAAGTCTGGAACTCTATTCCAGATTGTATCTGCATAAATCATAAAGGCTGCCTCCCCATGTTTAGTTCTGACTCCGGGCACCAGTAGGAGGCCAGTCCCTGTGCTCCTCAGACTTGGTTTCTATTACCCTAACATGTCACAGATCCCTGAGGTTCAAAACTTGCCATTGGTTTTTCTTCTCAACCTTCTCTGCAAAAGTCATGCCCTTCTACAACTTCCACTGCAGATTTTACAGTTTGTCAACTTTATTGCAAAATGCTTCTATGGGAGTGACGCCCTGAAGCCAAAAAACATTTTGGGATTTGTGCAAACCTACAGAATAAAGCAAAAACAATGTTAGAAAAAGTCTTTAAGTCACACTTCTTTATGCAGCCCGGCTGATCATGGGCAGTGATACACAGTCACCTCAAAGCCCCCGCTCCGACCTCAGGCCAATGCAACGATCAGCAGGTTTTTTTTGGGATGAATCAGGCAGATGCATCAGGCGGATGCATCAGGCTCGGTCAGAGGTAGAGGAGCCAGAGGGAGAAATGTTGTTTGGGAATATAAAATGACTCAAACATGCATGAATCCTTATTTCATTCAATTGAATTTATTTTCATATAGCCCTAAATCACAACAGCACTTCTCAGAGGATTTAACAAAGTTGTCAACTTGCCAACAACAGATAACACAATAACGCCATTGGTCCATAGGCAGCAGGATGACCAAAGTCCATAAATGTTAATAAATGTCCGCAAATGTCCTTAAAATGTTCCGAATCATGCTGTCTTTAGACCCTCTTGCATCGGCCAGGAGCAGCTCATAAATCCACTGTCCCTTGGGCGGACAGGTTGTAGATCCAGTGTAGATCCTGTAGAATAGGGAATGAGGACTCTAAAAACAAGGGACAACGACTATTAAATTCTCAAAAAGTTAAATGTCAATTTTGCATATAATATCCCCTTTAACAAGACAGAGAATAATAATGAGTTTCCTTATTACACTGATATAATCTGGACCGCATCATCTGTCAAATTGAAGGTCACGTCACACTCACAAAACGCTTTATCCGTTTTTAAATGGCTACTTGATTGCCCAGTGTTAGAAATGTATTTTTGAAGCATCACATTGAGGAGCAGTTCTGTGATGCTGATAAAAATAACCTCAGCTTCCTCAGATATGCCACATGAATAATTTCATAGCCTACGCTGTTCTGATGATTGGGGTTTTATAAGTTACTGACATTTTTGGTTTATATGGCTCTATGAATGTCTGTTTTTACAGATTTGTTGCGCTAGAGCTGGGGTTCCCAAAGTTTTTAGCCTGCGACCCCAATGGTAAATGCGCTGATGCCCCATGACCCCCCACCTCAACAACCCTTCCCATTGCGTCACATGTAAAGCATGGTTTTCCTTGATTTGGAGTAAGCCGGGTTCAAGTCACGGGCTTGGCGGGCTCCCCCCATACCAGAGGTGGAGGGCATTTCTTGCGGCTCCCCCTCACTGTTCTCCGCTGCCCTCTCGGATGTTCCCTCCGCCGCAGTCTTCGCACAATCGACCTCACCTCTGGCACATGTGATGTTTCTCCCCCTCCGGGTTTTTCTGTTGTGGATAATAACTACGTTTCATTTAAAAGCAGACATAATTTGTTTGTAGCCTACAAACCCCTTTAGCTTTCGCAAAAACAGCAGGACGCGTTTTGTCACTGCACGTAACTTAATTTGAATTTGATTGACACGGTCGTAATCTCTCAATGATGGATGATGGATGAATGGATATTATATTTTTATCAGACTCTTCTCCAAAGTCCAAACACAATTTAACAAGAAGTCCTATAAGTCATTTAAATTGCAACAAAAATATTGAAATATATTTTTAAATATATTTGAAAATATTTATTTGTTCCACTTTTTATTTTTATTTTTTCTGGAAATCATCTTGTCACCCCCCGTTGGGAACCACTGCCTTAGAGAATGTTCCTAACGTATTAAGTGTGTTTAAATGAATTATCTTTAAATGTGCCGACAAATCTCTGCTCAATTGAACAGGAAATAACGTTCTATTCTAATGATTTCTTGTTTTTTTTTTTACAATTCTTTTTTTTTAATACTTTCCAGAGTGTGAAAGAGGAAGCATGTATCTATTTTGTGCTTTTAGCTCTCACAATACCAGACAAAAAGGGATGAACTGTAGGTAACACAATCATAACAAGTATTTTAACAGTGTCAGGCTCTGTTAAAAGGGCTGGGGATACTTTTTATCGATTACAATATAGTCAGCACTTGCTTTGTTTTAAATCAATCAGAATAGTAAATTGTGTTTTTATTAGTAGAATATTAAATTTCCTTCAGCTTTATAGGCTCTCTCGTTAAAATGTTCGACCAATGATGCATTTTACAATAAGATTAGTAGGCAGTGGAGGGTATATCTTATGACTTGAGTGGAAAATTAAAATTGCTCTTTAATTCTATGTGTCTTTTTCTGGTTTGGTCCATAGAGTGTTAGAAGTGGAATGATGTCACCATATAGTGTTAGCCTTAAAGCAGAAGAGGGCATTTATTTGGGCATTTCTTCCGCTCACCATAACAGGGGCAAAAGTGTGGCTATTACAGCTGCTAAGGTAAGCTAAAATTTTGCTATTAAAAGAAGGCCTCTGATCAATCAATCCTAGTATGGCTCATATCTGGATTTACAAAGAAAATTATACCTAAATATACACACCATGATCACAGAGAGCGCAAAATAACTGATTTTTTAAGCCCCAAATGGTTTGTGTTTCTATGTTTTCTGTCCCTACTCAAACAAACCAAATTAAATCAAATGATTAATGAGCTTTTTAATGTGAGTCAATAGGAGCCAGAACGAGTTTGAGGAGAACTTTGTCCATTGAGAACTTCCTTCTTTGTGCTCGGGGTTAGCATCGTTCATCCATATACAGTGTATGGTTTGGTCATTAAATTGGTCTGGTCTTTAAATTGGTCAATTTGTTTCAGGGTGGTGCCAGTTCTGTAATGTTCAATTCCTTCACACAGCATGGCCTTTAATATCATGCAGCTCCTTGTTGGCGGTGACCTACTTAGACAAGGGCACCAACAATACAAAACAGGATATATGTTCATCACACTTTACCTATGAATCCTTACACACTGATAAGGTTGTCCAATTAAAACAAAAATGACAGTTACTCATATGTTGCACTGCTGATTACCTTCGCAAATCTCGCCCTGACACAGGTACTTCTGCCAGTTAGATATGCATAGCTTCAGATGTGTGATGGGCTAAAAATAGAAAACCTGAAAATGATGGAAAGCATTGGCCTCACAGCAATAGCAGCTCTGGGTGTTAGTTTGTGTGTGCGGTGACTCGGCTTGACATGCTTTTGTTGAGTTTTTTTCCATTCATTTTTCTCCCAATTCAAGAGGTTGTAGATCCACGAGTGGGTGTGATCTTACAATCTCAATGATGCCTGTGTGTCCTAAATGAAAGTCATATAGCCTTTTCCCATTTAGTGCAAGCCAAATGATCATCTCGCCACTGTTGATGTAAAGGAAGAATTATGTTCCCGATACACATTTATTACATTTTAACAGCCACATCAAATCAGTAACATCAGCAACTTCTTACCAACATTGCCAGAAATTAAGATTAAAGAAGAAGAAGAATTAGTGTCTAATTTAAAGCAGACTTGGAGTTACAAAATGCTAAAAGTGCCTCCATTGTGTCTGTTCCATTCATCTTTTGAGACTCAGGGCACCAACCAAGGTTTTCCTACTGTCTTCAAAGCCTCTCAGTGCAAAACAGTTAAGAAATCAAATAACAAAATAAATGGGGATTAAAACAACATGTATTTTTTTAACAGCTGCAATAACTGTACAATAACTGTGCAATATGGTTTTAAAATTATGATTAAATGGATTCATGTCATAGTTAACCTGTGATTAATCGCAATTAGTCGCACAATATAAAAGAATGGCACCGTTAATAACGCGTTTAACTGACAGCACGAATATATTTATTTGAATTAATTTGTGATGCTGGCACAACTTTACCCCTTCCCTAACTACTATTTTATATTAGCAATATGAGATAAAGACTGAGACTAAAAGACTGCTGTGTACAAAAAAATATAGTTTTTTGGTTTGCTTTTGCTTGTTTCTTCCTTAGTTTGTCAGTAACAAATGCGTTGGAGTTTTTTTTTTAAGAATTCCATTGAAATAACTGTTCTGAGAGTTTTAGTTGTTTCAGAATCTGACAGTCCTTGTGTTAAAGGCAACAAACAGTACTAAATGTGTGTTGGCCTGCCGGGGTACCTGGGCAGTCCTTTGGGGATGGGCAGAGTGGGTGGTTGCTCTCCATCCAAGCTGCCTGGGGCTGAGGGAGGGGTGAGCAGGGCGTTGTGGTGCGATGAGGTCAGCAGCAGCGGCAAAACCGTGTGGCAGGACTGGTCGTTCAGGTGGAAGCGGTGGCCACAGTACCGGAACTTATGAGACACGTTCAGGACGTTGGAGAAGGCCGAGCGCTCCGCATACGTCACCGCCCACTGCGCACAGGCAACAGAAGACAAACGTTTAGAGTCAAGTAGGCCTGCCCAATCAGTGACCCCCAATCTACAGCTACTGAAAAAAAAAATAATTTAAACAAGAAGTTCTATTGAAGTAGGCCTCATCTCTGTCCAAGCTGAAAACCGTTCTATTGAGCTGTGCGTGTGACTGACTTATATATGGAGTTATAACACTGAGTTTTATTTCTGACATTGAGAACTAAATGTGTGTATTAAGAACATGTATTAACATTTTTGGACATTGGACATCCTGCTCCTATGTGTTTTCTGATACAGCATTTCTTCTCCGAGACGACTGCTGTTGTAATTCAATAATTGAACTGATTTGAATTGAGTTCTCTAGGGGAATCAGTGGAGCTTTGTTTTGGTCAAATCTATAATGACCCTACATTCATTGATTTTCTGGACCTAAACAGGATCCTCTATTCTGCAAATTTACAATTGATATGGCTTTTGGGCGACACAACAATAATGACCTTCTATCAAACAAAAGTAAAACTGAACGACTGTGTCTTCACTGTTTTTAATGTACAGTGATTACTTATGATTTTAATGCCTTGTGTGATCGTTTCTTGTGTTTGAACGGTGCTAATCAAAAGGATTGATTGATTGATTGATTGGTTATACAACTAAAATTGCCTTTCCAGATTCTATTTTTAACTGCTCTACACCATGATATTCTTTTGTCATTGTCAGTGCCTGTATTGCCGTCATTGACCTGGTTGAGGGACCCGTCCACGTGCTTGGAGACCATCATGACGGCCGGACTGGTGATGGGCTGGGAGTTGGAGGAGGGGTTCATGCCCAGTGAAGTGAGGCCAGCCGAGGCAGAAGCAGAGCGGGGCAGAGGCGGCGCGGATCTCCCCTGGTCCCCTGTCCCGGGACTCTCTGCCTCTGTCAGGGTGTAGGCGTACATCAGAATATTTTTACTTAGAGAGTTGGCGTCGCCAGTGGGAAATGCCACAGGGATACGAGAGGAGAAAGAGACCTGCAAGGAGAAAATGTGTCAGCTATTATTAGATCACACTCAAGACTCCACAAGGGGAAAACTTGGACATGGAAGCTCACTCATTCAAATGTATTAACAACAAGCACACAAACAAAACAATTATTTAAGTAGCAAATTACTTTTCTATTTAAATTCTGTTCAAATCCCAGGTACCCAACTTATTTTGTCTCATAAACAGTATGCTTTTACCCAATAAAAAAAGAAAGAGACTAAAACCATTCATAACCACAATGTGTCCTCATCTTGTCTTTTGTCTTTTGCCTATTTTTTAGATAGAGCCCTATGAGGCAGTATTTGAAACTTAGGGCTAAGAGCTGATTGGCTGAATTAGGGTGGTCCTCTCTTTTTCACTTTTCTGTCTGACAAATATGATCTAGGCATGTGACAGAGGCCAAAAATACATTCATGTGAAAAGACCCAAAATATTTTAATGCTCCATAAAAGCTAGAACTAGAAACATGGATTATCTTATAGTAGTTCCCTTTATGTAGCTTGAAAGTTAGGTACCACAGCTTTGATTAAAATGCAAGTATTTAGAAACCATGTATTGGTTAAGGACAGTGTTTTTCAACCGTGTCCATGGCATATGCTGTTTGGTGTGGCTTTGGAGATGATCCAATACCACCCATTTTATGGTGTTGTATACAGAAATTATAACCGTTACACCTGCACACTCAACATAAATACAAACACACATTCACACAACCCACACAACACAAACCCAGTATTTCAAAATTAAGTATTAGCAATGTAAAGCTGAACATTTTCTGAGAAAGAAAGGCATTTTTTGTGATTGATTCTATTGAAAAATGTGTACCATGACTCACAAAGGTTGGGGAATACTGGAATAGAAACATCCCCACAGCAAAGAGAAAAAGAAATGCTTAAAAATATAGTTCAAAGATATTGCAGAAAATATTTTACAATGTTGTAAGTAACTAAATAATCATTACTTGTATAGTGCATTAAATAGATCATGGTCTCACAATTTTTGGTGTACCAGTAATTAACTTTTACTCCACACATGCTGCTGGTTACAGAAGCAAGACAAAGAAACCATCCATTCACTCACTCATTACATTCATACTGTACCTAATGTACATGCTTTTAGTGGTAGGGGAAAATTGGAGCACCCGGAGAAAACCCTATACAAACATGAGGAGAACATGCAAATTGTGCCACTCAAGATTTACCCAAGAGCCAGCACTTAAAATATCTTAATTCTTAGACCAGTTATTTAGAAACCTCCTGTGTGTGTCAGATTTGTTTTTAACCCAAGGGTAATCCAAGTATGTAAAAACCAGACATGGCACACACATGACTCATCCAATCCTATTTGAGTTTCACTTTCCTCTCTGCTGTTTCATTTCCTTGCATTCACACATGAAAGTTCAGAATCACTTCAACCATTTCTCTTTTTCATGAATAGAGAATGCATGGGAGTTGGGGGAAACAAAAATCAATTCAATGTAGTTCAATATAATTATTTATAAACAAGAGCTCGCCACGCACCTGAACCTGTCTGAAAATGCCCTGGTTGAACTCGTCCAGATACTTGACGTGCCAGACGAGGAAAGAGCCGTCCACTGGGTGAATGGTGAAAAGCATGTCTGGGCTTTTGTTCCACTCCGTCATCAGAGTCTCCATCTTCCTCTCCAACAGCATGGAGGGCAGGGGCAGGCTGGAGCTGGAGCCCGGGGACGAGGCCTTGGTGCTGCAGTGTTCCCCCGGGTCCATCTCCTCTCCCTGCTCGGACGAGGCTTTGTCCGACATCTCGTCCAGGTCTATTCACAAGTGGAGAGTGTATGAGTTATTAGTCATTTGAAAAAACGGGATAAGAATTGAAAACATGTTTAAATTTGAATCAATTTTAAAAATGTTTGAAAAAAAAAAGCGTTAATGAAATATGTGGAGGAAGGAGAGTGAAGCCCTCAGCACACAGCTCTTGTCTCTATCTGGTCTCTCTCTCGGGTCTCTGATCTCGCTCGCTCTGGTCTCTCGCTCTCTCTCTCTGGTCTCTCTCTCAGGTTTCTCTCTCAGGTTTCTCTCTCTGGTCTTTCTCTGTGCTCTCTCTCTGGTCTCTCTATATGCTATCTTTCTCTGGTCACTCTCTCTGGTTACTCTCTCTGGTCTTTCTCTGTGGTGTCTATCTCTGGCCTCTCTGGTCCTGTCCCCTTAATGGAAACACTGGTATTGCCGGATTTTATAAACTTTTTAATGCAAGGCTTGTCTTTTTGTATCTGTCTCTGTCTCTTGATCTAGTGCGGACCTATAGAATCTAAATAAAGAAATGACAACAATCATACCAAATTCAAATTTCATGGGGGATCCATCTGGGTCGAGTGGGTCGTCGGTGGTCTGTTCAAGTTGTTGCTCAGTAAACTTGCGCAGTTGCAGCATAAAGAGGTCCATAGAAGAGGTGAAGCTTAGGTCCTTATTGTTGAGCCAGTGCACCACAAAGCCCCCGCCCCCAGTGCCATCGTCTGCGTTAAAGGCTGCAGCATCGGCCAAGGACGGAATATCTGGAAAAACACACATTTTGGTTGAATATTAAACTTGAACTCTGTACCACCAACATCCATATATTTTGTGCAGTTGCCAGTAATGACTTAAAAAAATAGTTTGATTTACCAAATGAAATATAACAGTAAAACACAAATAAATAACAATTATTTTGATAATTGATTAATCTACGGACTATTCTTTCAACTTGTTTAGAATTATGTATGTCATTTTGTGTACTTTTTTTTAGTAAGATCAAGCTGAAATGAAGCATTCTAATACATACATTTTATACAATTCCTGATTATTTTGTTTTGTTTGAGACTTGAAATTACATTAGACAATCCGTGATAACAATAATCTCTTCATTGTTACAGCTCTAAGATAAACCATATTTCACAGTAATTAAGCTAATGAATGAAGAGTTCCATAAAAAGCCTTTTCTTTAGACCATCCTACAGCAAAGAAAAAACTCCAAATACCTCAGTAGAGAACCCCACAGAACTACATATCAGCTTTGCTTTCTGACAAAATCTCGTACAAATGAAAGGAAAATAAAATGAGATGTTTTCAGCGGAGCGTACCTGTGCTGGGGTTAATACTGGCAGAGATGTGGAAGTGACAGAGGGCGTTGGCGTGGTGAGCAATGTGCCGGTGAGTGTGCGGGTCGTGGGAGCCGAGCTGAGACGGCAGCAGCTCACTGTGGGTGACCAGAGCAGACGACCGCCTCCTGCCTCTGCGGAGGTGCTTCAAGTGGTGGATGGACTGTAAAATACACATTTAGGATCAGTGTCGCCCTGGTTATTGTTGTTGCTGTCATTGGTCTCTCCATAGCCTTGCACCAAAGTAAATCTGTGCGATGCAATGAACCAAGTCGGAATATGGGAGCACAGGGAATTTTAGATTTTTTTTAAGCTAAAATCGGTTTTCCTGGTAAATTTAGATAGTCTTATAAAATGTTCGAATCCAGGTTAAAAACTCTTTAGCTGTCCATATTATCTAATGAATGTTTTATTATGATTTTTATGCCTTATATGATTGTTTCATCTAGCACTTTGAGTTGCCTTGTGTATGGGGCAGATGTCCACTAATAAGTGTCAAAATAGAGTCAATTTTGAAGGCTCTCAAAAAAGATGGTAAAATCCCTCCTCAGCCACTGGCTTGTTTTATCCTGATGTCCACTGCCCCCATGTGGATCACCAATACATACCAATACAAAACTGTCCAACCAAGACTAACATGCAATAGAGTAGAATGTATATGAGTGTATTGTACCTCCAAGGCATGTTGTATTTTGTCCTTCCCGCCGAACCCAGGTAAACTAGAGCTGAAGGACTGCGCATTCTCGGATACCTGCCCCCCGAGCAGGCTATCCTCCGGCAGCAGCGTCTCAGACCACAACCGGCACACGCCATCTTCACACGACGTCAGTAGGACATTGCAGACTGAGCCCCTGAAATAACAAGAGTTGTACCAATGATTGTTTTATAATATCTCAGTATTGCTGTTTAAATGTGTCTGGTTAAGCGTGGACAAGTGGCCACCCACAGCACTGCAGCTTGAACACACATGAGCTGTATGGGAAATTTTCCCATTAGACCTCAATGTAAACTGAAACGGCTCATAAGTCAGAGTTTTGTGAGGACTTTAGTGTCCCCTTGTCATCCTGAACTTTTTATTATTTTTCAAAATCCATCGGTTTTCTACAAATCCACACTTTAGTGCAACAAACTCGGCTCAAATAGGCATTAGATTAACAACTACTTTTACTTTAATTTGCGTTGTTTCTTACTTGGGCATAAACTTGCTGGTCTTCCTCCAGGACATACCCGTCACCGATCGGGGATGGGCCAAATAAACAAAAGAGAAGTGCACAGGAATGGCTTTTTTATCAGACGGGTCCTGGACCACCACAGCAGAGCGCCACCCAGTGGAGGGGTACCACACTTTGAGTAAACAGTCATCCTAGGAAACAGCATTAGCCTGAGAATTAAAATCACATTAGGCAGAAATGGTTCCATGCTTGTAATGGATCCTGTTGCAGCTGAGCTCCATAAAAGCTTTGATAATGTGTGTTGACTTTGAAGATGCTAATAATCCCATATAAAAGTGTTGTGTTACCGATATAATGCTCATGTTACACAGACAACACGAAGAAAGTGCTTCAGAACATGTAATAAAAGCTATGCCAAGTTCTTTGTTTGTCATCTTATTGACATTTTACCAAAACAAACGTATGTAGATCAGACTGGTACGTAGTTACAGCTGACAATAACTAAGCGTTAATTTTTCCTTTTTAATAAGGACAGAGTGTAAATGCCGTACCCTTCCAACGGTAGCAAAGTATTCCCCATCTGGAGACCACTTGGCAACATGAATAGATGCAGCAGTTCTGAAAAACACAGTAGAACAGTGGACATTATTTTTACATTTATAGACAGTGGACCAAAAGCTCCTATGTGCATGTTATTATTGCAATGTGTTCAAACAATTTGATTCTCTGATCTGTTGTTGAGGAATGGACAAGTTTGTGAAGTCCTCTGAGACAACTGCTGTTGTGATTTAAGGCTGTTCACTTGATTGGAACTTGTCCTTCTCCATTCTTCTGTGGCGTGTGGGCTTGTGTGCAGTGAGTATGTGTTGTGGTTCTTTGGTTGTTGCTGATGAAGGCGGTTGCACTTCCGTCTCTGTGGTTTCAGTCATTCATGTGTCATCAGGTGACTATTAGTGATACGCTTTTATGTGTGTTTGTTTGGCCATTACAGAGCACACAAGCAAACCCTAGGGAACAGAAGCCACCTATTGTTGCTAACAGCCTATTGAAAGAGAAATAACTGGAAAAACTGGGGCATACAGTTCTCAAAGTCTACCATTATGTAGTGAAGTCTTTTTAGTTTAGTACAAACATATAATTTCTAACTATTAAATAATTGTTGAATTCTTAATATCTAATAATAATAATAATGCATTGGTTTTAAATGGGACTTTTTTGGACACTCAAAGACGCTTCACATTATCACCGTCACTATTCTTTCTTTCCTATACACGGTGGTGATAACTACTATTGTAGCCACAGCTGCCCTGGAAAACATTGACAGAAGCGAGGCAATCATTATTTGCCATCGGCCTCCCCGACTCCCACCAACCAATCAAGCACACACCAGACTCATTCAATGCAATGTGGGTGAAGTGTCTTGCCTAAGGACAGAACAGCAGTTTGACAAAAGGAACCAAATGTGTGAGCACAATACAAGACTCTAATAGTCTATTGTAAATATGTTGAACTGTGTAATCTGTATTTTTCACATGTAAATGTGATGTATTTTTGTGTCTTAGGGACCAGGTCTGCAAATTAGCTGTTAGCTACAGTACATGGCCTATAGGCATCAGTTACCTGTTGAAAGGGACAGAATGCTTTTTTGTTCTGTCCCTTTCAAATAAACACATAATTAACAAATAACATATAGCAGACGCCCCACTGTGGCACCTGGTGATCCCAGAGGTCTCCCATCACAGTACTAACCCTGCCTTGCTTAGCTTCAGAGGTCTGATGGGATCTGGATTTCAAATGCAGGTGGCATCCAGAGATAGTACAGTGGAGAAAACAAAGACTAATTTTGAGGCATTGGGGGAGCTCAATCCTCTTGCTTTCTGTGAGGCTGAATCAAATGTTCTATACAAATAACATGTCTTCTTCTTTGTTTATAGCCAATGAAAGAGCTTACTTGCACTGCCACACACAGTTCCAGTCGTTGAGGACCGGGTGTGGCTTGTCGTCAGTGCCCTGTCCGTCCTCCTCCTCGATCAGGGCGTCCGACAGGGGAGGAGCCCACAGCTGCAGGCGCTCTGTAGCTGCCAGAATACGGTTCCCTAAGGGCAGACGCACAACATGTTACACACAAGACAAGCACACACACACACACACTCAGTAAACACACAGTAAACACACAGTAAACACAATGGTGCCTCAGCTTTTTACACTACATGAATAAAGGACTCTACAGAATAAAATAGTATTCCATTATTGGTGGTATGTCATGTTTTTCTTGGTCCTCCAGTTTCACAGAGAAATGGGGAGGCAGAATTTCAGATCTATGCAGCTGGTTGTGAGACAGGCCTCTACCCTGACCATGATCAAAACTAGGTGGAAAACATCTGTATAGCTGTGCATACAACTGAAGGATTGTATATTGTATTGTTTTAATGTACTGCGATTATGTATGATGCTAATGCTGTGTATGATTCTTTCTGTATGATCTTGTTTTGTTAAGCTCTTTGAGTAAGATCATTAAAATATATTTGTGCAACTATCAAATATGTTGGTGCCATTTGAACCCAGCTGGGACTCTGTTGGACCAGAGTCAAGGGTAAACATTGGGAGGCAGCGTTTCAGATTTATGTAGTTCAAATCTAGAACAGTCTCCCTGAATATGTGAGAGACGTCTACTCATGTTTAATGCACTGTTGTTGTTTATTATTTTAATGTTTTTACTTACCTGTGTGATTTTACTTGTATTTTTAACGGTGATTTTGGTGTTTGTTTTATGTGATGATTTATGCCTTGCGTGTTGTGCACCGTGAAGGGCTTTGTGTTGCTCTGTGTAAGAAAGATGCTCTACAAAAAAAGATTGATTGAAATATAAGTCTATGCCACAAAGATGTTAAATACTTGATTTAGCAATTCACTGATGTTTTGAACGCTGGCGTCTTTAGTCAAAGCTTTAAAAAACAACCACATCATGAGGCGTCGCCAGCAGCAGTACACACAAAGACAGCGAAGGTCTCGACAAAGATTCACAAGTAAAACCGATGGATCAAACCCACTGCGGTTGTGGTGCACAGCCGAGCGCAAAATACCAAAGTCAAAGTATACATTATATTTTATCATCTATACCCTACGTTATGTATAGGATAAATCAGAAGCAAATATGTGACTAATGGCATAAAGGAATAGATTTCCTGATCAAATTATTAACTATTCTTACAGTAATTACAAAAATAATGGACATGATTGTTTTTTTACCATTTTGTATTATGTCTCTGAATAGTTGGAGGAGATTAATATAGATAAAGATTTTTGCTTCATCCAACCCAATTCAATGTAATTTTGTTTTCTACTGTTCTGTGAATCATTGTTGCTATATCTTGTGTGTGTTTGAGATAAATAATCATTAAACATATATTTTTTATGTAAACATTTGATATTTGGGCTTAGTATCAAACCAGAAAGCAGAGCAGCTTTAGTCTGTTTTTTGGGTTGCCAGTTTCTTTGGTGAAATCCAGCTGGTTTGGTGTCTATACAGTATAACCCTGAGACCCAGATGCATGTTTAACAGGTGAGACACTAGAAACTCAAAAACCTAGAATAGCTAGAGATTGAAATACCTAGAATTCTGGGATTATAGGTATTTGTCATAACAATATAAAACAGGTAAGGGCAAAACCTCCAGACTGTTTCTTTAAGATATTACTTTAGTCTTTGAGGTATATTTAGATCTTCTTCACACCCTTCTGTGTGATTAGTGTTTGGAGCTACTTCAGAGCCAGTCGCTGCTTGAGGCACTGATGGTTGCTGCAGTGTGCATGCATTTGCAAAATATATTGCTGAATTTCAATCTCATCTTGTGCTCCAAAATAAAATCACCATATGAAATTGCCTTAGACTTCTTTGTACTATAACCATTTAGACTGAAAGACACACAAAAGATCCACCCACAAATGTAGGTTACTGTCAATTTTGATAAATAAAGTGACTAACTATATTTTGAGGGCTTACCCCACCCACAAAAAAATTAAAACAAATCCTTTTTTATTACAGGGACATTACGATTCATTGAAATGTTTTTGTGTGTGTGTTTTTTTAATCTCCGTATGCACACATCCCTCTTGCATTATTGCTAATGTTCATTCATCCATTCATTCATGTATGTGTTTGGTTTGTAGTACTCTTGCCAGCCTCTTTTCCGTTGGTCTGATCTGCCAGATTAAATGTCCCCCTTGTGTGTCTAGTGTCAGGTCAGTTTTGTTGGTCATGTTCACTCGAGTTCTGTTAACATTTGATTGTTGGCCTTTTTTATTTGTTACTTTGTACCTTTTTTTTAGATCATTAAAAAGCCTACAACTTCAAATACGTGTGTTTCTTGCCTCACCATCGGTCCCTTATATTCATGTTAACTGGTGCAAATTGAAGATGCACAATCAAGGAGGGCTCTTGCATTGTCTGTCTGTATAAAAAACAGATCCATATTTAAGGGTAAAACTTTCTCTTTTGAAGGCCGGTATTACTCAGCAAAAATGACAAGAGAGAGAGCTATTACGTGATCCAAAGGGTCACTCCTGTTTATTATCTGGAAAAACTGTGTGTCCAACTCACGTAAAGGAAGAATCAAGCAAATGGCCTTTTGGCTCAGGGTCCTCATCAGATAAGTGGCCCTGAAGCTCGAGGGAGCCAATTTGTAAAAAGAGAGGCGAGCAGTGGGTTAAAGATTTTCAACAGTCTCACGAGGACAAGAGAAGAGCCATTTTATTTTGGGAGTAAAAACACACACACTTTGAGTTCAATGGTGCAAATTGAATGAAAGAAAACAGAACTTGATTGAATGTTTAAAACAAAATTGGTTAGCACAAAATAGATCCTAAAATAGAACCTAACCCATAGATTTTCAAAACATATTTTCACTTAGGTGAATTTGGCTTGCATAATGTACTGTGTGATTTATGATTGTAATGCCTTGTGTGATCTTGTTTTGTTAAGCACTTTGAGATGCCTTGTGTATGAACCATGCCATGCAAAAAATCTCGTCTTGCCTTACAGGAGAGACAGAGATTATAGCTATGTCGTGAGTGCAGCAAAAACCCTTATTAAACCCTTGACTGGTGACCAATGTTCCAATAACGATGATTTAACAAATCTGAGATGCGATAGTTCCATTTAATTAAATAAAACTCTCGTCCATCACAGTGAATAAAGACCTTGTGTGCCCTCTACTCACTGTTAAGTCACTGTTAAATAATCAAATTGCGGATAATCAAGATTAGGAGGAAATTATTCAGACTGATCAGAACCCATCTAATCAATGCAATGAATATCCTCCATATGTCTAATGTAAAGCCAACTTTAAGAAGTAGTAAGGCGTTGGAATAGAGACTTGTGGTGATGAGTGATCTGATGGGGCGTAATGTCTCGCATGGCGTAATGTCTCGGTATGGCGCCGTAAAGATGGCGCCGTGGCAAGAGCTCTGGTGTGTGTGGTGCACACCGGGGTAGTCTTGCACAGTTTTTCCTATGTGGTTTTACTGCAAATGGCAAATAAATGAATGATGAATGAGACAGTCTACCTCCTTTCAGTTTAAAACAGAACTGATCGCTACAATATCTTTAATCATGATGTTAACGCTGTGATAGTGTCACAGTCAAAACTCTAAAAAATGGTGGGTCCGTGTTTCAAATGGAACAGTCTTGCTAAAATATCTCCTAGCATGCTTCTGACAATCTGCTATAGGACAGTCTTTGAGGCTTGGGGCTCATTGTCGTATAATATTAAGTATTTGGATTCTCACTATTGAGCTGAAACCATAGACTGTAAATATTAACGGACGTAGTCATGCTTATCTCCGCCGTTCTAACTAATGTGCCACAACTATGGGCAGTTTCAAAATGGCGCGGCGGCTGGAAAATGTGAAAAAACGCATCTGCGCATGCATCCACCGGCAGGAGCCCCATTCATTTAAACGAGTGACTTCAAAATTTCACGGCGACTAAACTAGACTGGTCCAAAAGCAACTAGTGTCTCCAATCACTGTACTAACCAAGCTATGCCCTGCTTAGCTTCAGAGGTTGGAGGTTTTTGCATGCAGGTGGCGCCACAAAACATGAATTGTCCAATCACAATAAGGCGAAGAGGAAGGCGAAAAACCAAGCTGTGATATACTGCATGACAAATCCTCCACATTCCACAGATTTAGAATTTTAAAAAGTTATGGAAAGTAAGCAAAGTCTCTGGCTCTAGGTTGGCAATAAGTAATAACTATGAGACTGTAAATGACCATGAAAAAAAAACATCCAAAGTTCATTTAACATCACATGTTGCTTATGATGTTTGATTTGGATTGTGTTTAATGCAGGAGTGAGTTGACAATGACACACAGTAGCAGTACCTTGAGGGTCCCAGGCCAGGTTGTAGGTGATGGCATCGAGGAAGAACTGTCCGGTCTTTTGCCACTGATAGTTAAGCTGCAGTTAGTGACAGAGCACACACACAAACACACACACACACCATGCGTTGTTAAAGTTACGTGAATAACCTTAGGCCTGCATTGAGAGCAGAATGTGGCAGAGGCCGGCCTACCTTGTGGCGTTTGTTTGGGTTTGTCAGAAGAGGCTCGAAGACGCACACTGTGTTTCCGTAAGAAGCAGCAATCTAAAAATAAAACAGGCATCATCATCACAACATTACTCACCCCATCAGAGGCCCACAGGAGAGAGGAGGGAGATGGGAGAGAGAAGGGAGGGGAGAAAGAGGAGGGAGAGGAGGGAGAGAAGGGAGAGGAGAAAGAGGAGGGAGAGGAGGGAGAGAAGGGAGAGGAGAAAGAGGAGGGAGAGGAGGGAGATCAGGGTGAGGAGAGAAAGGAGGGAGATCAGGGTGAGGAGGGAGAGGGGGGAGAGGAGAGAGATCAGAGAGGAGGGAGAGGAAGGGGAAGAGACGAGACAGAGAGGAGAGGGTATAGACGAGACAGAAGAGACTGAGCTGCTTCTCTTTCATCGTTTATCTCCTTAATCACTTCATCCATCCTTCCTTCAGGTTTATTTTTGTCTCTCCCTATTTTCTCCATCCAATAACTCATTCTTTCTGGTACATATTCTCCTAAAATATTGTCAATAGGAGGAGACTTTGGAATGGATTGCATGAATTGTTGTTATTTTTGTTATCTCTTTGTATTTTGAATGTAACCCAAAACCCAGTCTGAACAGGGCCTTTCTGAGTGGAGTTTGTGTGTTCTCCCCGTGTCTGTGTAGGTTTTCTGCAGGTGCTCTGGTTTCCCCTACCACTAAAACATGTATAATTGGCATAATCCTCCAGCTCTGGTCTTGGCCAAGAACAACAACATATGGAGATGGAGCCCTGGCGACCACTGCTCCTGATAGATGCCTGAGTGGCCTTGAATTTTCCTACAAAAAAAATAAAGAATAACTTAAACAATAAACATACTTTTCTATTGGTAGAATGTGTTGTTGCATTGTTTCCGCCTTTTTCCCCTTTTATAAGAGCGGCATGCAACTTAACAATATAAATGACCAATTCAGAAGCATAATTTTGTAATTTAATTACAATCTGTAATGCAAAAAGTAAAAGTGTTTCTTTATTACAACTCTTTGAATAATAGACACTTATTATCAAGTGTTTCATTATTAAAAAGGCTCCTATGTGTTTGTAATTATTGCATTTCCTGTGTTCAAACGGTTTGATTCTCAGTCCTCTGAGATGACTGTTGGGGTTTAGGCCTATATACAAAAACAAATGGAATAGAATTGAAAGTGTAAATGAAACACATTCTTCACATTTTAATAAAGCAGGTTTCATACTACCTTCTGTGACTGATACAGTTAAAGCCTTAAAGAAACTATATGTAGGAGTTAATGAAATACATATATGTTGTCTGAGCTCCCAGATACGAGGGAAGGATGCTTAAATCTCATCTTCATACACAGCTTTTTATGAAAGCATTTAGAAGCAGCAGCTCTATCTGCAGGCACAGACACTGGAAACATTATCAAGCAACTATGTTCACTTTGTAACAGCAGTACAGATCTGCTGACATATCATTGCTCCCTAAAAACTCATAGTGTTTTAGTATCATTAAGACTGTTCCTCTAATACCAGTGTTCTTTATGTGCATTGTGAACATGGTGGGAGGAATAAAGGCTTTCTTATTCGAAATCGTTAGAAAGAATGTATGCTACAAAACTTAAGTCATGAACAAATGGTGCATATGCAAAGTTCATCAGCAAAAACAGATTTGTAACAAATTTGTAAATAAATGTATTCCTCTAGCCACCGTCTTCAACAGGTTTTGTTATTGGCAGTTGAAGTGAAAGCATTTGCTCAAGAAGGAGTGAAATTGGTACTTGATCAAGAAATGACCTGGTAAAGGGCAAAACTGTAAATCTTTCTTTTTTTTTTCTGATGGCACTTATCTAACCTATGAAATAATCCCTAATAAAGATGTGTGCCTCACATCAGAAAAAAACACATTTTTGACTAAAATTCTTAAAAACCTGTTTTTTGGTATGCTAGCTTTTATAATGTTTTCAGTTTGTCTTCTTCCCGTCTTCAACTTTTGCTTGTTCATTGTTCATTGACTGTGAATTCATCGCTGACTTCATTTCTGACCATCTGTGCTTTTAACACAACGTTTGCATTTTAGAATCTCTCTTGTCAGCCTCCTCCATTTGACTGTAGCGACTAGATCTGCGGGATTAATCGCAAATCTCAAACTGCAATGTAGATAACAAGTAATAGCCTTTTATTTAGCACATCTCAAAGACCATGCTCGCACAAAGATAAATATAGAAGCGAGACTCCGAACACTAGCATCAAAGTCTATGACCATCACCTATTTCATGTTTTTAGAAGTAGGGCAAACCGGAGCACCCGGAGGAAACCTATGCAGACACGGGAGAACATGCTAACTTTACTCAGAAATGGCCCCGTTCCAATCGGGATTCGAACTCACAACCTTCTCATACAGGCTAATAAAACATGCACGTGAAAACAGCTTTGAGAGCGTTGTGTTTTCAAAGTTAGGTACTCCAGCTTTAAATAAATGTTTACCTCAACCGTAATGGTTATCTGTAAAATTAGTTATTTCTGTAAAATCATACAGCCACTACTGCAGCTACTGCCCATCACCGTCGCGAGTGGAGCCTTCATACTGCATTTCTCTCTGAGCAGACAGACTGGTCGTCTCTGGAGACAATCTCAGCACACAGCAGAACGACCAGAGGGAGCAGTGGGATCAGTGGTAGCAGTGGGATCAGTAGGAGCAGTAGGATCAGTAGGAGCAGTGGGAGAAGGGTAGCAGTAAGAGAAGTGGGACCGGTGAGAGGACTTGGGGGACTTACCCGGCCGAGTTGGTGGGAGCACTCCACGCAGCCCACCTGGATGTTTCCATTCTGGGCCCCGGGAATGATCTGCACACACTCAAAGTCACTGGCCAAGATCACCACGTCACAGCCCGAACCGTAGGCCTGAAACAGAAGAGGACAAATGGAGAGTGAGTGACTATATAAAAATAGTTTATTTACACAGCACAGTTCATACACAAAGCAACTCAAAGTGCTGAACAAAACAAGACCAAAACAATCATAGAGGGCATTAAAATCATAAATAATCACAGTAAAATGAAAAGAGTGAAGACACAATCCTTCAGTTGTATGCACAGCTAAACAGAACTGTTTTTAACCTGGATTTGAACATTGTCAGAGATGAAGCCTGTCTCATATTATTATCAAGATTAAACCACATTTTAGAAATATGACCACAAATGTATGAATGTATGTATGTGTATGGTAAAAATTTAACAATATTTAAACAGCATTTCATAAATACTTATTGTTCAAAAACACCCAAAAATACATAGTTAGGAAATGTGTGTGGAAATTCCTGGTTTCCCCATTTGCTGCTGAGAATGTCGTAATGTAATTTCCATTTCTGCTTTGCTCTGTGTAAAACCAATTTTTTTGCATACTGTATATCTGTTCTTTTTTTTTTTAAATAAGCCTATTCCTTTTATTCTGCATTTATTAAAAAGTTATATTAGGAAAATGTTGTACTGTGTTGCCTTTTTCATCTGTTTTTATGCATTTTGGTCTCCACTTTGCACACAAATAGGACTGAAGACATGTAAGCAAATGTAAGGCCAAATAATCCAAATATGCCATGAAAAATATGTGGAATATGTTACAAAAAGAGATTAACTACAGGTCTCACTATTGCATCATGATACTGGACTCCACTGGCTCCTTATCTGCTTCTTGGATCACGATAGGATTTAGTGTTTGCGTTCAGAAGGTAAAGACTGCCTGTTTGCCAGTGTCCAGGTGCATAAACAGCAGCAGTGAAGAGGTGCCAGAGCATAGAGCCTCAGTCTGCGTTTCATTATTCAGGAGAACAGAAGAACAGCCAGGGAGCAGGGAGCAAATAAGCAGAGACCGCATTACAGACTACAGCTGCTATAACAGATCACTCCAGTCACATTTCATCCACTTTACTCATAATATTGATAGTGACGATGAAAAAAAGCACTAATAATAAGGTGCGAGTTGCTTCTGGTTCATTCACTGTATTTTAAACATGAAGATATGGATGATTTTTGATTGCGAATTTTGTTAGTAACTTGTCTGGTGTACAAAACAAAAGTTTTCAAAATATTGTTTCTAAAAATGGCAAAATATGTTAAATATCAGTACTGGATATATTGCGGAACTTGCTATGGACTTTATTCTGAGCCTGATGTTGATGCCCAGATCCTATGTGCACATTAAGTTGAATATTTGTTCTTTCATTTTTCTGACTCATATTCTCATCTATATACAGTGCTTTGCGAATGTATTCGGCCCCCTTGAACCTTTCAACATTTCGCCACATTTCAGGCTTCAAACATAAAGATATAAAATTTTAATTTTTTGTCATGAATCAACAACAAGTGGGACACAATCGTGAAGTGGAACAAAATTTATTGGATAATTTAAACTTTTTTAACAAATAAAAAAACTGAAAAGTGGGGCGTGCAATATTATTCGGCCCCTTTACTTTCAGTGCAGCAAACTCACTCCAGAAGTTCAGTGAGGATCTTTGAATGATCCAATGTTGTCCTCAATGACTGATGATGATAAATAGAATGCACCTGTGTGTAATCAAGTCTCCGTATAAATGCACCTGCTCTTTGATAGTCTCAGGGTTGTACATTCCAAAGTTTGAAAAATGCTTCTCAAAGAGACTCACGGACAATCTTTCAGTCTACACTGCAGAACTGTTCACCATAATACTTGGCCTGCAATGGGTTGAGGAAGTGAAGCCGCTTTGGGTGGTTATCTGTTCAGACTCTGCAGCAGTGCTGCAAAGTCTGACTTCAGGAATGACTTGTCGAAAGGATTTGATTATTGATCAGAGATGCAGCCAAGAGGCCCATGATCGCTCTGGATGAACTGCAGATAACTACAGCTGAGGTGGGAGAGTCTGTCCATAGGACAACAATCAGTCGTGCACTGCACAAATCTGGCCTTTATGGAAGAGTGGCCATTTCTCAAAGATATCCATAGACACACCAAACATGTGGAAGAAGGTGCTCTGGTCAGATGAAACCAAAATCAAACTTTTTGGCCACAATGCAAACGATATGTTTGGCGTAAAAGCAACACAGCTCATCACCCTGAACACACCATCCCCACCTCAGCTGTAGTTATCTGCAGTTCATCCAGAGTGATCATGAGGCTCTTGGCTGCATCTCTGATCAGTCTTCTCCTTGTTTGACATGAAAGTTTGGAGGGACGGCCGGGTCTTGGTAGATTTGCAGTGGTCTGATACTCCTTCCATTTCAATATAACTGCTTGCACAGTGCTCCTTGAGATGTTTAAAGCTTGGGAAATCTTTTTGTATCCAAATCCGGCTTTAAACTTCTCCACAACAGTATCTCGGACCTGCCTGGTGTGTTCCTTTGTCTTCATGGTTCTCTCTGCGCTTTAAACAGAACCCTGAGACTATGAAAGAGCAGGTGCATTTATACGGAGACTTGATTACACACAGGTGCATTCTATTTATCATCAGTCATTTAGGACAACATTGGATCATTCAAAGATCCTCACTGAACTTCTGGAGTGAGTTTTCTGCACTGAAAGTAAAGGGGCCGAATAATATTGCACGCCCCACTTTTCAGTTTTTTATTTGTTAAAAAAGTTTAAATTATCCAACAAATTTCATTCCACTTCACGATTGTGTCCCACTTGTTGTTGATTCATGACAAAAAATAAATGTTTTATATCTTTATGTTTAAAGCCTGAAATGTGGCGAAATGTTGAAAGGTTCAAGGGGGCCGTAGATTATTCCAGGTTCCTATGTCTGTTTATGCAGAATTACATTCTGGCCACCAGGGTTTGTGATCTTAACCATTCATGATTATATACATTATTGTGAGCGTAGGGCAATTCTTCCGCTGCATTTGATCCATCCTGCAAAGGCACTATAAGCACCAGGAGCAGTAAGACCCATCTCCAGAAGTTGATATTCGGTTTGGTCAGTACCAGAGGTGGAAGCTGAATTTTACATAGTGTACAATGGTTTAGTGGTTTGGGGAAACCGGAGCACCAAGAGAAAACCATATGCAGACACAGGGAGAACACGGAAAGAGCATCAGAAAGACCTTGTTAAGACCGGGATTTGAATCCAGAACCTTTTTGCAGAGAAATGCTCATTTCCAAACATGATCTGTATAGTACATAATAACACATTTATACATGGCACGTCACAAACTACTTTGCAGATCTTATTTAAAAAATCCACAATAAACATTAGCTTTATTTAAAAAAAAAAAAAAGTGATGTGGTGAAGCACAGGATGGGTGCTTTGCGTCTCTGCTTTACTGTGACTGCACTGCTGTGGTTCTGCTCATTACAGCTGGAATTAAGAGCGGTCACCGTCACGGGCCGAGGACAGAAACACTTTGTCAAGGCGCTAACTGCACGTCCCACATCTACTGTAAAAACTGAGAAGGTGAAACTGGACATGTTTATGTGTGGAAACATGGGGATTACAATGTCTGGCGTGAGTATGCTATTGATTGTTGCCCAATTATTTGAGTATGTTAATCACTTGTATACAGCCTTGACAGCATATTAATCATATGCTTTTCAAAAATAGCATTTACATTATAAATTGTATGTCAAACTTCAGAGCAGTTTTGGCACAAGCATAAGCATGTTAATGTGTAAAACAAATGAGTTGAAAGCTTGAAGTCAATTCAATTCTATTTATAAGTTGTACCGATTCCTCAACAACAGATCAGAGCATTAAACATTTTGAATGCTGGAAATAGTACAATAACAAAAACACATTAGTCCATAGGGAGCGGGATGACCGCTTTCCATAAATGTCCATAATGTCTTTTAGGAGGCCATCTCCGTGCCGGCCTTGTTTACCAACAGGGTCAATAAAAAAAAGATTA